TTCCCTGGGCAGCACAGGAGTAAACCCTGTATTTAAGATGAGCTGGGGTTAACCCCACTTCTGGGCTGCATTGGGTTCAGCCCCACATTTGGACTGCGTAACTCCATGTTTGTACTGGGCTGGGGTTAACCCCACGTTTTGGCTGAGCTAGGTTTAACCCCAATCCTGGGCTGAGTTGGATTTAACCACACATTTGGGCTGCACTGGATTTAACCCCAAATTTGGACTGTGCTACATGTAATCCCACTCCTGGGATAAATTGGGTTTAATCCCATTCCTGGGTTGAGCGAGATTTAATCCTGCTCCTGGGCTGTGTGGGGTATAATCCCATGTGTGGGCTGCACCGAGTTAAGCTCCGTATTGGGACTGTACTGGGTTTAACCCCACATTCAGGGGCTCGGGGCTTATTGGACTGCACTGGCCTCACAGGTAAAGGCTGCAATTAGTTCTGCTGTTTTAACAGGGGTAATTCCAGCAGCAGGTTGCTGGGGTTGCGCTGGGTGCAGGTCTGCATGTGTGTGTGCAAGCTCAGCTCAGCCTGGTGTGGTGCCCCCCTAGCAGGCATGGGGGCCCATGGGTGCTCAGCACCGCACCAAAGGGGTGCAGAGGAAAGCAGCACTTTTTGAGGTCCCCAAGACACCAGGCTCTCCCCTTGGCCTCAGGGAGCATCAATGCCGCAGTGCCCGGGGTGGGTGACAGGTTGCATGTTGATGCAGCGATGATGGAGGTCACCGATGCTGCAGGGGTGGGATGCTGCCGTGTCTCTGGGCAGATCAGCAGCCACGTGGATGGGCTCAGGCTATGTCATGGCTCCTCAGAGCAGGGCATGGCACTTCTGCAGGGCTACCAGGAGGAGGGGAGCTTAGCAGGGTGCTGTGCTCCCCACCCCATGGGACAGCAGGAAAAGGGAAATTTTTACAGCTTCTAAACACTGCTGCCTTTGGCCACGGGAGAGGTTTCCCGCAGTGGACGCTGGCAGAGATGAAGATCTGGGGTGCGGGGCCAGGGATGCTCCCCCAGCTGAGGGGCAGGAGTGCAGCGTGATGCCATCTCCAGGGTGTTGGAGCTGGCCAGCATCAGGCATCACCCATTGCAGAGTGGCTTTTTGCAGGTGGGCGTCTCCGGCAGGGCCGAGCATGCAGTGGGCAGAGCTGCCAAATGCTCTCGGGTAAGTTGCCACATCTCCATTGCAGTGATGCTGCTCTGGACCAGCCCAGGGAGAGGTTAGGAGCCATCCCAGTTTTCTGTGCTTGGTGGGGAGCATCCTGTGTCTCCCCACTGCCATCTTCAGCCCAGCAGCACAACATCATCTGCTTGTGTCCCCACCACCACCCCCCCTGGCTCTGCATGCGGCTCATTCTCTTTGAAGAGTGACTTCAAATGAAGCAAAGCAAAAAAAAAAAAAAAAAAACCAAGAAAAACCCAACCAAAACCCACTGCCTTTCAAAGCAACGAGTGCAATGGAAAGTTAGCCTCCCCCAGGAATCTGCGCCAAGCTTTGCCAGGCCACGACAGGGCATGGCACAGAGCTGCTGTGCCAGGGGGACTGTCACACCCCGGCTGGGCGTTGGTGCTGGTGCACATGACTCTGATTTTGGAGGATGTTTTGACTTGCCGTGTTTCAGTTTGGGTGCAGGAAGGGGCTCACAGCAGGATTTCTCCCCGCAGGTCCCCAAAAACTCGTGGATGATCTCGAATGATGCCCAGCAGGACAGCAGGGGCAGTACAGGGTGATGAGTGGCACTTTGTGTTTCTGCCTCACATCCACGGATGACATGCACACCCTGGTCACCCTGGCTGTGCCGGTGACAAGAACATCCCATGCCGAGGGAGCAGAGCCCGGCACTGCTGCCCTCCCTGCCGGGGCCAAGCCACAGGCCCAGGCTGGGCTAGGTCACTGTGTCCGGGCCGTGACCGCGGGAGGTCACCCAGCCCCGGGCGGGCAGCAGACGCCTCTTGGGCCAGGATTAGCATGCAGGAAGGAAGAAAAGCTCTGATTGTTCCCTCTGTCCCGGCTCGGCTCCATGACCACTGTGCTGGGACTCCCTGTCCCTGGGATGTGTCACTGCCGGTGCAAGCATAGAGGGATGCTTTCTCTGCCTGGGTGTCCATCCGTGGGAGTCCAGAGCTGCTAAGGAAGATGGCCTGGCAATGCACGTGTGTGTGCATTCATTTGCATGCCTGTTTTCCCCTCAGCAAGGGAGTTCAATTGCAAAAAGTAAGGGGATCCTCTCTGGGCAGGCTGTTTTGCAGCTCTGCCTGGCCCAGAGCTCATGGCTCCCTGCCACGCCGCCGCACCCAGAGATCCGGGTCTTCCCCAGCTCTGCGGCTCCTTCCCCTTTTGTTTGTGGCCTTTGGGCAGGCGAGGAAGAGCTTGCCCTGTTTCTTTTCTCTGCGGTGGTGCTTGGTCATGGCTAGGTTTTGGCAATGCTCAGGCGGGTCATTTACTAAGCCAATGTGTGCGTCTGGGGAGATCTCGGTGGTGCCTTCCCCCGTGCAGTGCTCACAGGGGTGGGCAGCTGTCCAGCGGAGCCCATCCAAGGCAGGGGAGCTTACGGGGTGCTGGGTTGAGGATGGGGAGCACTGAGGGACCTCGAGAAGGAGGATGCTGAAGGGTGGGAGGGTGCAGGATAGCCCTCAGGGTGAGTGGTGGGGACCACTGGAGAGACACCATGGAGATCAGGGGTTGGGATGCAGCTGGGAACGGGGTCTGCAGAGATGCCCTCTGCCACCATGTAGGGGTCTGGGGCGCCTCTGGGTCTGTTGGCAATAGCACCCGCAGCCAGGCGGGCTGGGCAGGGCTTGTGCCATCCCTAGGGACATTAGCAGTGGCTGGCTGCAAATCATGCCATACCCCTACCTCTTCCTTGTCTGTGTGGGGAAAGATGCCTGTTAGCATCACAACTGTAGGGTCATTTTTCCAGGCTGGTCTTGAAGTACTCAGTGACACTGAAACCTGGTAAACTCATATCAGCAGTGAGCCAGCACCCAGAGCATATCCCCCTGCCACAGAGGGGCATAGTGGACGGTGGGTGCAGCAGCTCTGCCTTTACCCTCTGCAGTGTTTGTATGAAAACGCAGGGCAGGTAGGAGACGAAATTATTTTAATTTAAAACTATTTCTTTCTCTCCACACAAACACACTCTCCCTTCTCCCTGACACCCCTTCCTCAGCATCATCCCCCTAACTCGGCTCCACATGGTGTTTGGAGTTATTTTTGGTTGCTACTTTCAAGTGTATTTTAAGTCTTTTTTTTTTTTTCCATCACCAAAATATTTTACTTTCAGTCTGAATGTTCCCAGTTACTTACCAGCATAGTTTTGGCAGAGACCTTTTAACTGATGTTTCTTGGGAACGTTTCTACGAGTGGTTTAGTAGGAAAAGCTTATGACAGTCTCATGAAATTATCTACATTTGGGGCTTGCGTTTGAGGCTGCCTGGCCTGTTCAGGACAGGGCTGATGTGGGTTGCCACACAGCTTTTCCCCTCCACTTGCTGGGTTGCAGCACATTGCCTTGTAGTTCTTGTTTCCTTCGCCACACAGTTTGGTGTGTGGCCATGGGCACCTGCCCACAGGAGAACTGGCAGCTGCTCTAGGGTACCTTTCCAGGGCTGGAGCATCCCTGCCCTGAGCATCCACCCCCCAGCTGTTGAACCCAGGAGTCTCAGGGGGATGTGGATTTACACCCACGAGCTGCAGCCTGCGCAGGGAGCTCACTGCCTCCTGTGCCCTCAGCCCCTGCCTGCCTGCAGTCGGGAGCAGAGCCTGACAATATGGGTGTGAATAAACAGGCCTGCCTGTTTGTGAGAGGTGGGCAGGGGGGGTCTTCTAGGGAGAAATTATTCTTCTGTCTGTGCCTGGCTGATAGCAACAGTGTGACGCTGCTGTTAGGGATGGTGTGTTGCTGGCCAGGATGCTGGTCCTGGGGTGATGCTGGCTGGCACAAACAGGGTGATGCTGGCTGGGATGGACAGGGTGACACTGGCTGGTGTGGACAGGGTGGTGCTGGATGGAAGGACAGGGTGACAGTGGCTGTTATGTGCAGAACAACGTAAGCTGGGATGGACACCTTGGGGTGATGCTGGCTGGCACAGACAAGGTGATGCTGGCTGGGATGGGCATCTTGTGGCAATGCTGGCTGGGGTGGACAGGGTGATGCTGTCTGGACAAACAGGGTGACACTGGCTGATATATGCAGAACAATGCAGTCTGGATTGGACATCTCAGGGTGATGCTGGTTGGGATGGACAGGGAGATGCTAGCTGGGTGGAGAGACCCAGGTCTGTGGCTGGGGTGGACCCATGGAGAACTGGGTGCACATCCCTTCTTCAGCATCCCACTCGCTGGTGGTCTCTGAGTGGGAGGAAGGGATTTCAGGGCCATGCTCCCTGGGCCCAGAGACCCCAAATGGCCCAGAAGGGCACAGACCTGCACAGACCAGCCCTGCAGCGGTGCAGGGATGGGCACTGATATGGGACCCCCAGCCAGCCCCGCTCTCAGTACAGTATGAGCTCTCACAGACTTGCTGCCCTGGCTGTGTGAGTCTGTCAGATTGAATTGCTGTCTCCTGCCACATAAAAACAGGCCAGAATTTCTGGTCCCTTCCTGCTCCAGCTGCACCAGCACAGGTCTCTGGACCACCCAGGGACTGGGAGCCAGCCAGGTCTCCTGGCACAGGACTGCAATGGCAAAGAGCCCTTAATCCCACCAACCCACACAGCCCCAAGCTCCTGGTCAATGTTTGCCCTTTGTGTCCCCCCTGCAGGCATGGGGACTCCTCAGCAGCCGGGGGCTGGCCGTGACGGTGGCACAGACCCCGCCAGCTGCCCCAGCTGGGGTCCCAGTGGTACGGTCCCTGTGCTGTCCCCAGCAGGATGGGATGAGACAAGGGGGAGATGTGGGGTCCATGGTCCTGCAGGGATGCTCTGGGCTGCGGACCCTGCTGGCTGCCCCATTGCAGGGGATAACATCTTCTCCCTCCGCACTCTGCCTCCTCTAGATGCACAGTCCCATCCCAGGCCTGGACAGGGTGATGGTCTTCCTCGCAGCAGCCCTTGCGTCAGCCTCCCTCGCTGTCCCCGAGGGCTGGGGAGAAGAAGGTGAGTCCCCCTCAAATCCCCCCCACGCAGCCCCCACATCCCAGGCATGAGGGCCCCAGGGACACCCCATTCCTCCCAGGCAGGCACAGACCTACCAAAATCAGGGTGTACATGAACACAGCCCCACGGCAATTGGTGTCCTCTGGCCAGCGCCCCCCCACCCCACCCCCCCAGCTAAAAAAAAAGATGTGACCAGTCCTTCCCAGTCCCCCATGGCGGTACCTGCATGAAGCAAGACCCTATGGCCAGTGCCCAGCTTTCCAGGGGGGGTACAGCCCTGGCATGGGGTGGCACAGGGTGCTAGCACCCATCCAAGGATGTGTGTGTCCCTCCAGGTGTGCAGTATGGACAGGTGGGGACAGATGTAACCCTGTCGTGTGCCGGTTCCCGTGCCAGGTAGGTGTTTTCTGTGCACACTGGGGGATGGTTTACAGCATAGACCTGGGATGACCTCGCAGTCCCAATCCTCTAACGCAGCGTGCCCGGTCTCTCCTCCCCAGCTCGCCGGTGCAATGGAGACGGGCAGGTGCTGCGGCATTGCCGGAGGGCTCGGCCATCCGTCAGGGAGCCCTGGTGTTGCCACACGCCAGCCTGGCCGCTGCGGGGACCTACAGCTGCCATGGCGAGGATGGTGGCCTCCTGCACGCCGTGACCCTGCGGCTGGGGTGTGAGTAGCATGTCTGTGGGCTGGGGTATGGGGGGTGTGCAACCCCACCGGGATGGGCCAGTGGTGCCCCAAAGAGGGGACTTCGCAGTGATACAGGGGTCCCTGTGTGCTGGCTGGGCTGTGGCCCTTCAA